ATAGTGCTGCTAGCTTTTGTGGGCTTTAAAAAAGTCTATCACTCTCATTGCTTTGCTATGTTATCATCGTGGACTTTGTCAGACAAGACCAGTAAATACCAGTATCTCACACCAGTAAAACTGTAATCAATTTTTTATCTAACATCTTTCAATAACCAAAAAAAGATATAAAAATCTATCATGTGTAAGATGCTAAATAACCAACTTCAGTTTCCACATAGTAGGGTAACACATAAAATTATAGGATTGATGGGAACGACATAGTGAATTCTGCTTAGCATGCACCAGGAGACCCTAATTGATATATCGAAAGGATATGTGTGAAATCAGTTGAAAAAAGTGTTAATGGTCTATCAGAGCAATAAAAAAAAAGAAGAAAGAAATCCAAATCTTGAAAAAACAGAAATTAGATGAGTATCTAATGTGGACCTTAGGTACTGTCTAGGCACTTAAATTCACCATTATCATTCTGAAAAACCTTATTCAGCTGGCATTTACCCCTGAAGGTGCATAAGCTAATTAGATGCTGTGATTATGGCCTTTGAAGAACTTTGGGTGCCTATGGCTCTTCTTCTCCCTGTGCAGAGAAGTACTTCCCTTTCTGCCAGGGCTGAAAAGCTTGAGCTCCAGAGATGGGGAATTACCTTTCCTAAGTTAGGGAAGGCTTAATCCTGTGAGGGATTGCCAAGACCTAAGACACATACACCAACTCGATCTGGTGCCCTACAAATGCTGTCCCTTCTCTGGGGACTCGGTAGCTGACGTGGATCCTGTGTTTTATGTTCTTCATTCTGAGGCCTGAGATATCTCATAATAGGTTGTGGATTCCACTTGAAAGCCTTCAAGTCAGATCTTACAATAGCACATTTTTATTAGTCTCATTCTTGTGTTCGTTTGCCTTAGGTGAGAAACCCACAGCAGTGACAGACACCTTCATTCAGAAAACTGTGGAAGAATCACTATGCCACAAAAGAATTTCTATTTAGAGTATATACATATATACACATCTGCCTTTGTGTGTGCGTTTTAAACAATAAATCACCTATTTATCTACAGTACTGATGTGACACCTATTAAATTCATATTAGAGATAAGGAACTGAACATAACCTCTAGACCTCATTGGAAAAAATCTTTCCAATGTAATAATCTTTCCAACCTGTTGCAGAGAAAATCAAAGACCTGAACTCAAGCCTTCCAAACCAGAGACAGATGTTGCAGCTTTGGGAACTGGGTGGAATTTTCCTTTGTGGAATATCAGTGGGTTGGTTTTTTTTGTAACTGTGCTTGGACAGATGCACTGTCTATACAGATGCATGGCCTATATGGCTTTCTCCAGCCGAAAAGTTCTGGAAGGACTGGTCAGTATTTGAATATTTCCTGTGCTGTGGATATCAGTCATCATTGCACAGAAGAGTGTAGTAGACAGAATCACAGACAAATGTCTTTTTTTCCATGCCTTCTGCCCAAGACATTTAAAAAAAAACCCTAGTCCCATTGAAATAAAGATTTATAATCAATTAACACATTTACCTGCTAATATTTCTTAACAGATTTTTGCGGGTAGATTTTTTTTGTTTTAGTGGCTGAAGTCCTGGCATAAGTTGGTATGGCCATGTGGGTTGAATTCTGTAAATAAGGTGATTAAGTGTTTCAGTTATTGGCACTTCTACCACCTTACTCACATGAAGCACACTTTTACTTGCAGACAATCTGTTGAACCATGTCTGTTGATCTTCCAGAAAATCAACAGAACTATTTGCGGTGCTAAGTAATTTAAGTGTGGCTGAACCTGACTTCATAGCAGCATTTGGGCATACTTTAGAAGTGCATATTTCATCCAAAATACCACAAAATGACTGGCCAGTAATATACTAGACAAAGTCCTTGGAAAAAAACCTGCTTTCCAAATCCTAAGAAACAAAATTAGTATTAGGTCAGAGGTCTTGTGGCCTTCTTTTTATCACTTATAAATTCTCCGATATAAGCTATATGGACAGTAATTATCCAGCTTCAGCCTGGCAAGCAGAATTCTTAGATTCTATAATGCCCTGAATTATCTTCTAATATTTTGGTCATATCTAAATTGTTCTAATATTATGGCCATATCTAAAGTTATTTATAGGGCAAATTGAAGGTGGAGAGCAAGCACTTTGCCTAATACACAGTACTGTAAAATTTTGTCCTCATGCACATAATAGAGATGTTAATTGAAAGGCATCTTCCAAGAAGAGTAATGCTAAGCTTGCTATGGATTTTTTCACATAATCTTTAAAATAGCATCAGTATAAGGAGTCCATGGCACCTCTTGGGTACCCATTCCTCCTGGAAATTCTAGCTAAATGACTGAATTCACAAGAAATATTATTGGCAACTTGTTACTACCTACTACAGATAGGCTTTTAGACCATTTCATCTTACTTATCTAATGTATGGCTCAGGCTGATGGGTGCTTAGCGTCAGACCGAGGGTTGACCATCATGGCAGTGTGGGAAATTTGTCCTAATTACCTTTATGTTAGCCATTGTCATGTTGGTTTATTTCTGGCATTATGAAGCACTCCTCCTAACTGTACTGCACACCCATGCCCAGAGTGTTAATAATTCCCATTTCTGAAGAACAATCAGAAGAGACAGAGATACAAAAGCTGCTCTTTCACAACAACCTGAAGAAGAAGGGAAATTTTGCAGCAGCTCAGTACTGACCAGATAGAGTAATTAACACAAAATAGCCAAAGAATCAACTCCAACAGAAACAATATTGAAGGAAAGAGATTTTTTACTTTGCTCAGGACTATTAACGTACAGAAGAGCTCCAAAAATACGGAAAACACCTAATTGTTGTTTATAGACGTTTTTTAAGTAGAGTGGGTAAGAATATGGATTTGTAGATACTATGGCAGTAAAGGCCAAATAAAGAGGAGATTGACTGGAAATCGTAGATTACTTTAGACAGTTGGATTAGGTAGAAATCACCCTGATGTGCAGTAAAGCAAGCAACAAGAATTAGGGGTTTGAAATAGTGTAAAGCATGTCTTGGAGTGCTGGCATTTTCTTCCTAGGAATAAACTGTCTTAAAATCCCTCTATAAATGACTGTTCATTAGCCTATCAATGTGTATAATGGCTCTCAAAATCATAATAAGAATTAATAATAGTTCGAATAGCAGAAAGGGACATTAATTTCTCACTCATGAATATTAATGTCTTAGTAGACAGTCTCTTCCCGACATGCTTTCAAACTCTTAATTCACAAGTCTATAACTGGTTACCTGTTATTTTTACGGTCAAAAACTTCCCCACCAGATCACCAGAAGACTTCAGATCACCCTGACTTGGACACTAGCAGAGAGGATGGGAGCAGAAGGCAGCGCAAAGGATGAGATCACGGTGTCCTGATAAAGTTCTTCAGAATACACCAGTGTTTGCTCAGCCAGACTGTACACCAAAGGGCAATAAAAAGTAGTTGTAAGGGGCAAGAAGTTCATATTTACCCCCAGAAGACCAGTATGATGGTGGATTATCAGGAAGAAGAAGTGATAATGGCAAAGGATAGGTATTAAACACTTAGCAGCAGAATAACATCCATAAGAAGAGAAGCACCATGAAGCCACCCTACCGGGGTCAAGGGACTGCGTCTCCTCCTCGCCAAGAGGACAAAGCAGGTGGATGGAGAACCACCTGAAGGGGATTTTCAAGTGCTGGTGCTTCAATGAGCACCTTACCCCAATTCATCACAGAAAGTGAAGTTGAACTCTAATAAATTCTTTATTATTTTGCCCCTCTTAGCACTGCAGGAACTGTGCAACGGGAGCTTAAACTGGAGAGATGATGTTCTCCATGTCATTTCCATGTGCTTCGAAAGCAGAAGAAAGTGAGATGTCAAGAGTAAACTTTCAGGTAACGCATTTCTTTACGTTTTGTATTTAACTGCGCTGCATCTCTAAATAATCAAGAAGGGAAGGATCTTGTGAGATGTATTTAACCTCATTATATCTGATGCTGGGTCTTGAAAAGCTTTAGTTGAACTAAAGACTCTTATGAATATAAAATCAAAGCAAGCCGTACATTAAGGGTTTCATATTCTCTGACAGCTGCGCATGTGCACACGCAGCTCTCATTAACAGTAATGGCAAATATGCATGCCCATCATTCAGAAAACAGATCTCTAAGTACTTTATTTGGTTTGTTTGGTTTTTTTTTCCTAGGGATTTTTCTCTATTGGACCTTTGATTGATCTCCTACAAGGCTTTTTCCCTTTAAGCTATCCCTCTCCCCTCCACGCTTCAAATGGGAGTAAACCCCCAAATCCCCTTGTTTTTCAGTCAAGTTTTTTCCAAGCCGATACAGTTTTACAAAATGCACCTGCATGTATTAAATACAGAGAGGGTTTGCAGCACACAAACCACAGAGACATCTAACAGAATAAATGCCTTGGACTTTGAAAATACTTTTGATGCCTGCCAACTTTAAAAAAAATAGCAAAACCAACAACCAACCAAAAACAAAACAATAAAGCAAAGGTAGATATGAAAATGAGAACATGAATGTTTTAGCATTCTTTTTGTGATCACTGCAGGGCAAGAGTCTGCAACCTTGTGGAACAAAACACACGCATTTCATTCTGATTAACATAAAGACAGCCCCTTCTAACATGATTCACAATTATTAGTCTCTCTCTTGTGTTAGGGGATATATGGATTATCAGCCTAGCATATTTTGAATACATACACATTTTAATTCCTTTCCTAAACCATTTTAGGCACTACAGTTAAATCGCATATACAAAATTTATAGATCAATAATTTGATTATTTTTTCCTCTCCAGTTAAATAATGCTGTAGGAGATAAAAGGCAATCAAAAACAATAAAAAGACAGGATCACGGATAATGGAAGGTAAGTCAGATTTGAGATGCCTCGGTTCTTCTATTCCTAAGTTTATTATTATTATTTTTATATAACAGGCTATTTCACTAGCTTCTACTGTATCTGATGTACTTACTTATCGCCTCCACAAACTGTTCAAAGAAGCAGTATGGGAACAGCGGCTCAGGCAGCTCTCTGAAAAACATCTTGAGTGCTCCGGTGACAACGTGGATGTCCTCCCACTGGCTGTCGTCCAAATTCAGCTTCTCTTCTGGGAAAACACGAGGAGAAATGGAACAACTGGTTTTAATGAAACAATTACAAGACACTAATTATTATGTTAATGTTTGCCTACTATCATCAGCAACCGTTAACAGCCTTCTGCACCTAGAGGTTTGGTGCTGTGCATGGTTTTTTTTTTCCCCCTTTTTTTTTTTGTAGGAAGAGAACATTTTCAATGGAATACCATCTGTAGGAATGCAGCTAACAAAAAAACAAGAGACACAAAGAGACAGTACCATTGACACAGTATGTCAGATACATTTATTCCCATAATGCATCAGTATGAAAATTAGCATCACAGCTCAACATGATTCAAAGCTATTTGGTTTTGAGGCCGAGGGGCTAAGAGTTGCCAACGATGGCCGGCTCAAGGGACCGGCCTAAAGGCCTTGCTGAGCCAACAGGAGACATATGCTAAACATGGCAATAGAAAATGAGTTATTGCTTTACATGTGTTAGCCGTGCTATGTACAAGGGAATAATGGGTAACGCTTTTCTCCTTTTTTTGCCTGAATGTAATGTCAGCAAGGAATAGAGTACTGTGAGAGAGAGGATATTAATTCCTTCGTACTGCTTCAAAAATATTTTGTTTGGTTTTCATCTCTGGGAGGAAGATTTGCCCAGCAACAATATTAGACAGACCCCTGTTGGCCTACCTAGGCTATGCAAAGCTGTCAAAAATGATAACGCACTAAAGACAAACCACAAGTGCTTACAAAACTGTTTTGCAAACAAAAAAAAAATGCTTTCTTTTGAAGCTTGACTGAGCTAAGGAATTTAAATATAAAAGAGACTAGATTCTAAAATAGAGGTTTTAATAAAAATAAAACAAGATTGGATGATTATTCTATTTTTCTTTGGTTTTGGTTTTTTTTTCTTTTTTAATTCTAGTTTTGTGATACTGTTAGAGCATAATAAAGAGTGAGATAATAATCCATACAAAACTCGAGGAAAGTGCAAATCCTTATTAGCCCAAATTAAAATGACACACTTTTTCTCCAAGTTCTATTACTCAAAACATGCAGCTTGACTTTTTCACATGTGCTACCATTCTCTTATTCAGAAAATTTCGGTCTGAATGCAAATTGGGGGCCAACCATGAAAATTACTGAACAAATTTAATTTGAAGCAACACAATCCTGAAATGTTTTACTAAATGTCACTGAAATTTCATGTTTAGCAATTCAGCTGGCTTGAAGAGCAGCTTCTTTATTGAGCTGTTGTTAAACAAAATAGTGAAATTATTGGAGGCACATGGACACCCACAACTCCAAATCCCTGTACTTAAAAGCAATAGTTTTCTCACTACAGAGTTTACTTTCGGACAGTAATTCATATTCAAAATGGAGTTGCCTCTCAACTTTTATTCAATAAATGTTATTAAATGCTTTTTAAATTTCTAGAGGAATGGACCCAATTCTGTAACTTGAAGTAATGCAAGATAAAGCTGGAATAAAAGCAGACTTGTGCATTTCGTTTAGTTGTCTTGCTTGCTTCTTTGGTTTCAAGGCTTGCTTTTTTTTTCCCATTGAATTACCTCAATCATAAAAGTAATGACTTGATCTCAGATGAGTTACCATAGGGGATCTTCTTTAGACTGAGATCATATTTGATTGATCGTATTTCAACAATTAGCCTTTTATTTTGCCACACACTATTGAACTAGATCGACAGCATCTTAGCAGGCCAGCTTTAAACAGTCAACTGTTAACAATAGCATCAAAAAGAGAGACCTGATGGGGTTTACTGTCACTTTAAAGAACAGGGTGGGTTTTCACATTGTTGAAATCTGTCAGATATTTTGAAATGTCCCTCTCACTATGGTGCCACACCCCCTGCGTGCCCTTATAATAAAATTGGTTTTACTCCTGATTAAATCATTTTCTCCCTACCCACTACCATACTTCTCATAATGGACCTGTGTGCTCTACAGCTGGTGTTCTTCCCATGGTACCAATTCTTACTTTATCTTTTAAGCACTTTGCTGCTAAGATCTCATGCAGAGTGCTTATGTTTTGTTAAGAGCTTCATTCTTAGAGAAATAGCTTAACACATGTTCTAAAAATGTTGTACAACTTATTGCTTAAAACACATTTAGAAAATGTATAAGTACTGTAGCTTTGGCACAGAACTTTAAGTAGAAACCTTAAAAAAAAAACCAACTTGTTTTTGCCATGCATTTGTCTTAAATGTCTAAAGTGGAATGCTTGACTTCTAAGGCTTTATAGAGACTTATCTTACCAGATTTTTGCACCATTTCCAGCTCTTCAAGGAAACGTGTTAGGAATGTATCATCGTGAAAGCAAAGGGTGTCAATTTTCCCTCTAGCAATAGGAGAGTTTTAAAAAATGTTTGCTAGAAGGAACAAATGCCAAGTAAAAAAAAAATTCAAAAGAAAATAGAAGTCCATTCAGTGTAAGACGCCCGTTTGGTTCCCACTGGTTGGAATCGCTCACATACCATGGCGATAGGGCCATAAACAGACACGCACATGCTTTTCAGGCTAGGTCTAAGTGGAGGACCTGACTTTTTGGCTTGGCTCAGACATATTTCTTATTGGGGTGTTTTGCTTATATAAAGATTAAGTCCCAAATCTGGTATTTAAACTTGACAGTCAAGGACTGCTTTCAGTCAGGAGATATTGTATCTGGGAAGATGCTCAAAATCTCACAGTCCTAAAAATTTGCTTTAACTTGTCAGTGGTATTTGATTAGTTCAACCATCACTGCCAGTTGATATCATATATCTTAGATACAGACACAAATATGCCCAGAAAATCCCATAAAATTTATGCTAATACTTGGACTGAAAATATAAAGACCACATTAAGGAAAAAAAAAATAGTGCAGGCACCTGTCAAGGTTATTATTTAAAAAAAAAATCAATATACAATACATTCGTGAAGGAAATCTGTCTTTCACTATGTTATTATTCCTAGTAAATCAGCCTTTACAGCAACACACGTTTTTAATGGCACTTGCAACGTCTGCAGTAGAACCAAACATGAGTTCATCTTTGGTTTAAGCATACCACCATGAGGCTATCCGTGTCCAAAAAAGGAAGACAGTAACATATGGAAAGATCAACTAAAGAAAATAAAAACTAAAAAAATTGATAAAGAAGAAAACAGAGAGCTCCTTCTTAAAAGAAAATGGACTTGTTTCCTCTAACCACACGTCCTGCTGGTATGTAGACGAGTCTTTGGAAGGAAAATGCGGTTATCTGAGAGTACTCCTTGTTCATTTTTCTTTTAAGCTAATATATTCAAGCATTTTCCCAGCTATATACTATCTTTTACCCACACTGGCATTGAATTCCAGAGCACCACGTTCAGAAGTCCTACTTGACTTCAGGTATTATGTCTTCCTTCAAGTTCTCTCATCGATGACCCCAAATCACGTGGAACACAATTTTCTGCAAACACAGCCGGCAGTGCCTGGTCTGCAATGGAGGTTGTGCCACAAAAAACTCGCCAAAGACTTTGGTGAGACATGTCTGATTTGGTCTTACACTGAAATACCTTTGCTAACATCACCACCTTTTTTATTTCTCTCACATCAATAATCTTTGCACAAGAGCTGGGGGTGCACAATGCATTTCCAGCTAACTCAAAGCTTAGGAAACTTTATGGACTCACTCATCTCCATAGCCAGGTTACTAGTGAGAGTAACACTATCCAAAATAGAGTCCTGCAGTTGAGGGAGGAAAGAAAATTCCTCTTGCACATACTATGAAAAGACCAGTGTCCAATGTCGTCATTCTTCTTTCTCAACTTTGAAACCATATCTTATTTTTTTCTTTTTCTTTTTTTTAATAGTCATATTCTTCAAAAATAATTTTGCGGTCATTCATGGTCTTCAATAGGGGAAAAAAAAAAGAAAGAACAGACTCAAGCGGAAGTTCTTACTTTAATCAGCACACTCTTCCATCATTAAATCCCTTTGTGAGGGTTGTTCCCATGGCTGACAGCACAAATATTAATTTCGCAACTGAAGGTGTGTGTGTTCAATAGCTGTCGCTGCATTTTTCAAGCCACAGCTTCTCTGATCACTAGTGTCGAGACACAGCAGCAACCTTCTTACCCTATCCAGGAATGATGTGAGCTCAAAATTATTGTAAAGCATTGCTATATCAGGACAAACAGCTTCCTTCAAAGTGATTGCACTCAATTTAGAGCAGTAATAGAATGTAGAAGTGTCTGGAAACAACGCCGCAATGGGATGCTATGAGGTGGTGAAGGCTCGTGCTCACCATACGACAAGGAGCGCACGCCTCGGCGATGCGGTACACGATGCTTACCTTCCTCCCTGTCAGTAGATCTCATCCTGGCATTACAACTTTGATCAAACAGCACAGCAGAAGCTGCAACTCAAGCAAAGCAATGCTTTTCTTGGTTGGTCAGATTCTTGTGAGTTTTCTCCCTTCTAGGTTTAGGAGGCCCACTGTCCTGCCTGCACTCAGGGCCTGGCCCTTCACTTCCAAGAGCATTTAAACAAATCTAAGATGTCAGCTAAGCGAATAATTAACTTGTGTATTTCTAAGCATCTTCTGCTGCATCCATCCCATGCTATTGATAACTCATCCATTGATGAGTTGTCAAGGATATAATCAGCAAACTAATGCTCACATGTATGACTCCTCTGCTAGAGGAGCATGGCATGCCCTTTTAACACAAAATTTAAGCCATGATGTTATAATGCCTGATAATTTGTTTGTTATTGGAGTGCCCATCTCCATGAAGCCCAGGCACAAGTTACTGAGAAACTTAAGCTAAAAATGAGAACATCTCTGTGTGCACCCAGAGTGCTGTTTATTCCAGTTCTCCGAAATGACAGTTCACTGACCTGGGGGCGTTCTGGAACAACCAAGTATTGCTAACTTAAATCTCGATCTGTGCCAGAAAACTAAAAGATTTCTGTATTTGGGCACACTGGGTCATATTCATCCTTGCATAATTCCACAGAGGTCTATAGAGTGACAGAGGGATGA